TACTATTAGTCAAATATGATATTTGCCCATATATTTGTCTATATGTTTGCCTACATGACAAATCCATTTTTTCGTCGAGTGGATGCCTCTTCAATATTCCCTTAGGAATGATTACAAACCACCTATATTGAACATCATCTAACATGACTGCCACTTTTATTCCCTTAGGAATGATTACAAACCACCTATAGTGAACATCATCCAATATGGCTGCCACTTTTATTCCCTTAGGAATGATTACAAACCACCTATAGTGAACATCATCCAACATGACTGCCACTTTTATTCCCTTAGGAATGATTACAAACCACCTATAGTGAACATCATCGAACATGGCTGGCACTTTTATTCCCTTAGGAATGAATACAAACCACCTATAGTGAATATCATCCAACATGGTTGCCACTTTTATTCCCTTAGGAATGATTACAAACCACCTATAGTGAACATCATCCAACATGACTGCCACTTTTATTCCCCTAGGAATGATTACAAAACACCTATAGTGAACACCATCCAACATGGCTGGCACTCTTATTTCCTTAGGAATGATTACAAACCACCTATAGTGAACACCATCCTACGATGGCCGAGAAGGGCCTTCCGAAGAAGACGGAAATCGGAAATCAGAAGTCGGAAATCAGAAATAGGAAATCCGAAATCCGAAGGCCCTCCCCGGCCATCGTACCATCCAACATGGCTGCCACTTTTATTCCCTTAGGAATGATTACAAACCACCTACAGTGAACATTATTCAAATTAGTTAAAGGAGAATCTAACCAGATTTTTGTCTTCTGGTTTACTTGTTTCTTGTTCGCATGCGCAATCGGTTTTTGTCGTCATTGAAATTTTGGCGGGAAAAAAAGTCCGTGCATCGAGTACTAATGCGCATGAGCATTGCCTTTTGTAACCGCTCAATCTCGTACCCGGAGCCCTTATTTCTTACTGCGCATGCTCGACGAAATAATTGGGCTCTGGAAAACTCCAAACCGGAAGACCCAGATTCTGGGTTTCTCGCACATGCGCATTATGACTGACTAGGTAAATTCAAAATGGCGGACGATGTTCACTTTTTTGGTGGCTTAATTCGAGACGCCATCTTGTTTATTTTCCCTAGTACTGTAATTTTTACTTCCGGTATCTTTCTTCGTTCTCGAGAACCAATCACAGCACAGGAAATATTAGAGTTTTCCAGAGCCCAATTATTTCGTCGAGCATGTGCAGTAAGAAATAAGGGCTCTGGGTACGAGATTGGTAACCGCTGTACTAAGCCTTCGATTTTTAAGATCATTCAAGTTAATAAGAGTTTTTGAGTTGAAAATTATAGATTTAATTGTAATTCTTATGTGCGTGATTTCAGGTTGTAAAAATCTATTATTTTTATAGTTTATTTTTGATTTTTTTGTCAGTGTCAGATTTGTTTTTCGCTGTTTGTTGCTCTTAATTTCAAAATCAACGAATGAGGAAAACGTAAATTGTAAACACAATAATCAAACCTGTTACGAACCTGCTCAAGTTTGTAAACTAATTATATTTATATATATATTATTACGACCTACCTAAATATCAGTAAAGAAATCTTATATCGCTTAAGCATCTTACATTGCATTCGTAATAGTAGATATTTCATTTTCACTGATTAGCAAGTTTAGTTTAAAGGTTCTTTGGGATTGATTTTTAATGACGAGAGTAACTCACTCACTTTATGTTAAATCAATTAAAGAGTCTTGTAAGATCAAGAAAGAGCTCAGTTTGTAATCGTTGATCCATTCTCAAGAAGTTAAAAGGCGAATGAATACCTTGCTATATTAATTTTTAAATTAAAACTGATTCAGGGCTATTCAACCGAGCTAAATTAAACGCTATAACGGTTTTTCTGTTGGCAGAACTAACTATAATTTCAAAAGCACATAAAAATTTGCAATTATATTATCTCAGCGTACCGTAACCTAGCTTTAACGGGAAAAACGTCTGGTAATATTTTACGATGAGTATATATTTTGGCTTTTGCTGAAAGGTTCCACTCCAATGAGTTGGAAAAGAGTACAAAAAAACATAATCTCTAAAGTTATTTTCTCCAAAAATATTATGTTAAATTAGCGTATACGTTTTCAGAGTAAAGACTTGAAAGAGTAGCTTGTACTTACCATCATTATTAGCGAAAAAAGCCCATCTTTTCACGATTTTGCTGTCAAAAAAAGGTTTCGCAAAATTGACAGCGACTAAAACACAGAACGAAGCGATGAAAAGTGAAAATCCCCGCATTTTGAAAACCAAGAGACTAACGCCACAGATTTTACGGTTGAGAAAACGTATTTCAATATTGGCACACACAGGTATTTCTTGATTGTTTGGATGAAGTCAGTTTGGTTGGATGACAGTTTTGATTGACAAGATCATGTCATAGATGGACAGTAGTTGTTTACCAAGTGATGTTATAATTTCATCCAATCGACCTATCAGAAAACGACTTTGTTTTCATTATATATAATCTGATACTTCAACTTTAACTTTACGAACTTTAATTTTAACTTCAGGACGCCAAAGCTTTCTTAGTATTTAAAACTATGTTTTTTTTTCGATTTATATAAAATATTTGTAATTTTAAAGATTTGGAGAAAGGGTCACATCTCAATTTCCTAAGTTTCAACACACATTTTGGAAGCGTTCCGTTATATCACTCGAAAATAAAATTTACATATGTTGGACTACCTGTGTTTTCACGTCGGAGAGTCAGACGTTGTGTTAGACAATTGTTTGTGACACCTCAATGAATCAGTCCTGGAAATAGAGAGTTAGTAATACTTACTTTGATAGCTGTCGTGTGATTTAATGACATCTCCGATCAGCTCAGACTCGTCGTCGTTTAATTTTTCAGGGTTTGCTAAAATTGAAGGCTTTTTCTCATTTCAAACCTCTTAAGAATAATAGCCCATTCACACCAAGGCTTAAACATGTTTTAAAGTGGTTTAACTAAACAGGTTTGAAAAACTATCTATGAACTCTGCACAATATTTGGTGAAATAATGCATGTAAGCTATCCTTGGTCTTTTGCTCTGACAATATTCTACAAAGTTTCATTATGTTGTAGGTTTCTAGTTTCTCAATTTTTTTTCCTAATGAAAACATAGCTTAACTAAACACGTTTAGGTGTGAATGGGGTATTATAGTCTTTGTTTGAATGCCATCCATATTTTTGTATCTGCTCGAGCATTGCCAGGTAAACAAAGAAATAATACTCAACGGAATGAAACGTGTTCTGTAATTGGATCGTGCCATATATTAAATCGAAAATGAATTATGGAAGAAGAGTTTTGTTTGGGTTAATTTGAATAAATCTCTACACACCCTAAAGGTAATGGAATAAAATTCTTTTTGATATACATTTAGATTCGTGTTTTTTCTCAAGTATTTTTTCTGGAAAAGAAAAGAATTGTTCTCAACAAAATGGCACACGTCGTCTTAATAGGACGCCTGCAAAGGGTTTACTGATTTAAAAAAATATTTTTAATAATATAATAATTTAATAATAAGTTTAATCCAGTTTTACTACCATTAGCATTGAAGTGCGCTCCCCACGACACTGTCTCTTTCGCCGACTAGCATTTCAACGACCACCAATCAAAGAACTGCAATTTGAAAAACAGCAACATCTCGATAAAATCTCCTTCAGGATGGTTTTTTTAAATAATGCAGTACTTTGATTGGTTAAAATGATATTAGTCCGTCCCTGCCCCCTTTAAAAAAATGCATTGCCCTCCCTGCAAATATCAACAGAGTTAGGAATGTACAACGATTTAACAATACTGAAACCTGAAATTGAAATTCGATAGACCTTCACTGGAACACATTAAAAATCTACACAAAATCGAAACCAAATCACAAGCATTCCAAACTGTGTCGAGCACCAGTTGACATTGAAAGTAGGCAGTATATTTTTACGAGTAGTTAACATTTGCGCCGTTCAAGGAACAATTCACAAGTTTGTTTATTTTATGAGTGAATCATGTTAAAAAGACGTCAATTAACGTGCAGAGAACGTACGTGATGATATGCCAAGACACCATGCCAGACCACAAAAAAATACCGGACTAAATGATTTATGATTTTATAACCAGAAGTGACTTACGTGATCTTCTTTACAAAAACACGGCTTGATGTAGTATAGAACTCTAATCCCCAAACCAGCTAACAATTATATTCATGGACTCAAAAAATTATCGATATTTATAAGGAGCTCTGTTCCATACACTCAATTGAAGAATCGTTGTCGGGTTCAGAAACATAAAACATAAAAGCTGAGACCGAAATGGCACATGGGAAATGACATGATTATATTATAATTTATTCATTTTCACCATCCATGAAGTCGGTTTAGAATGATGCCAAACGCGTATTCCGAAGTTCCGCGTTTGAGAGCCGTTTGCCAAGGGTCGCCGGTCACAGTATGCACTAATTAACGTACTTCCCATGTGCCATTTCGGTCTCATCTTTTATGTTCTCTGTTTCTGAACCCGACAACAATTCTTCAATTGAGTGTATACAGTCTTATGATAATAAGGAATGAAATTAAGAGTTTCCTTCATTACTAGGCTCCCTCATTGTTTGAGTTCCTTCCTCGATCCCTCCCTTCTTCCCTTCCCATGTTCCTTCCTCACTTCCTGTGTGATAGTCCAGTACTGTTACAAACAACAAACAAACCAAGAGACGCTTTTTCTTTGCACACTTTATTATTCACTCCTTAATATTCACACCTATGTCATTTTATCCGAATAATTGGGATTAAAAGCACACACACACATTAAAATATCCGTTGCATACCATAAATATATATAAATATAAGTATTATATATATTTATAAGACTTCGCATTTGAGCCGGCTTCCATCTTACCTATCCAGTGCAGTGGTCAACTCGAAAGCTATGCTCCTTTGATCACTACACACTTTTCCATTATTTAAAACTTTCTTTAATTAGGTTTTTTTTTAATATCTGTCATTAATCTTTTCTTATTCTGTAACTTGAACTTGAACTTGAATATGTTATATTAGAAACGCAATATTATCTATCAAAAAATCTCTCTGTTGACTCCCAATAAGCCTTTTCATAGTTTAAGAATCGATTCCACTGCGCATGCGATTTTATCCCGAATTTCTCACCTTCTTTTGTTTAATTAAGAACAAAAGAAGGTTTAGACAAAAGAAGGTAAGAAATTCGGGATAAAATCGCATGCGCAGTGGAATCAATTCTTAAACTATGAAAAGGCTTATTAAACCTCTTTAACTTGAGCACAATGCTTTTCCATTTCAGACCACGTGTCATTTTCTTGAGAATAAGATTCTTTGTTTGAGTTGTGTCCATATTCATGTGTCTTCTAATGTCTAACCATTAAAAAATGAAATGATACTCTAGGGAATGAGACGGGGTCTGAAATGGGGAAACATTACGCCCAAACTAAATTATCTCTAATTATAAATTATGAATTATCATTGTCATGCACACCATTTATATTAAAGACTCCAGCACCTTTTTACAGTTCCCTGCGCCATCGCAATGATAGAGACTTTTTTTAACACTTTGGACAATTATTTACATTTTTTATCACTGCAAACTCACCGTTCGTCTCGCTTCGATGCAAAGGCACGGCTACCTTTCAAGTTGCCGCAGGGAAATGCGAAAGGGACTATTCAAGAGCATCTGACCGGTAAGCTAAATTACTCGACTTCAAAACGTTATTAGCAGATAACGATAAACTGAGTAGGTTAATTAACCTCAGCTCTTGAAGCCAATGAATATAATATGAAAAACATCATATTAAACGAAACAAAGCAACCAGTTTATCACCTAGGTCCTTCTCAATAAACCAAATAGACCCCTTGTGGCACATCGAAACTTCATCTCAACTTTGGAGGACATAACAATAGGTTTTCAATTCTCAGGAGATTGAAATTCTTTCGTTTTGTCCTCCAAATTGAGCAAGGGGTCGATAATTGCTGCAACTTTTTTTCTAGCAATGAATTCGAAAACACATGCTATTATCGATGTTTTTGAATTGCCAACACGAAAGCAAGCTACAGCCTGCTACTCTCGCAGGAACAACAGCACCAACACTGTCTCACGACAACCAAAAATGTTGTGCACAGAAAATTCAAAATATTTCAGCTTTACTCTGTGACACTTTAAAAGCTAATATCAGTGACAGCAGCAGGAATACCAAATATGGCGCAGAAAATTCAAAATATTTAAGGTTGATTCTATCAGCGACACTTAGCAACATTGTACGAATGAAGTTGGCAGAAAATGCTATTTTTTCCTGCAGCAAATTCTAAAACATTTATTAATATGGACGGGACCTCGAGCAAAGAACAAGAAGCTAAAGCAAGAACGATGGAATATGAAAATCATATTTGCACGAGCTTAAATTATTAGGATTTGATGTCGGTTGGAAGTGGTTTGACCATAATGGCCAATACATCTCGGCTTAAAATATTAAGATATTTGGCACATTAGTATTAGTGTCATGTGTTCAACTTACAGCGAACAGCCGCTAATTCCCATTTTAAAAAAAACAAAGGCGGTTGTGTGACCTACTGAATTGAATGAAATTCAAATTGCAGGTTCCGGCATATCAAGAGCAGTTAGCGTTAAGTGGTTTTCAAAATGCTCTATTCTGCGTCTATATAACTCTCTTACTTTAGCCCTCCGTTTCCAAAGTTTTAAACCAATTACTTAGTAAACTTGCTTTACTCTCCAAAGGATTGAACTGTTTTTCTGTCATCTGAACATGTTCTTGAAGCTTCCTCGATCGCGAGTTTTTCTCCAAATGACTTGGTCTTTTATTGACACATGTCCTCTCGACAGATGGTAGAATACTCCTATTCACTTCGTTCTCGTCTTCTAAGTCGAAAAATGCTGTCTTATTTGATGTTCTTGAGAAGTTTGACTTTTCTGTTATTACAGAAAGTCTGCGAATAGATGTTTGGTGGCTAGAATAAGGGCAGTAGAGATCGGACAATAACTCTGCTTCTGGTTCAGCTGGAACTTTAGGAGTACCACTTATATCTTTATCATCGTCGTTGATCTCTTGCACTCGTTTCCGTAGAGGATTTGAGGGCAACTCCTTCTTTATCGGCGGTGCTTTCATTGCATCGATAGTATATCTACTCCTAAGTTGGTACTTTCGAGCTTGTAGGACTCCTCGCTGACTTGGGGTTATCAAATTTGAAAACAATGGTAAACTAGGTTGCAGATTATTCTCGCTTTCCGAAAAATGGTTGTTCTTTTTAGGCTTGTTGTTGAGTGTTGGTAGCAGAGGAAAAGTACTAGAGCGAACAACAACTCCACTTCGCCCTCCAGGGCTCAGTTTTTGGGACAAATTCTTTTGCTGTGTAGATTTTATTTCTTGTAAAGATTGAGCACTTGAGTTAGATTGTCTTGAAGACACTGTCAATCGGCCTCCAAGGGGTGGCTCGCTGTAACATCTTCGAAACGTTAGTCTCTTTGAATCTTCCTTAAAATCCATGTTATGCTCTACAAACGTAAATAACTGTAAAACATTTTTTGCCAGGCTGCTTGAAACCGCTTAAGCTTGCTTAGCAACGATAGATATACTTTTAGATTAAACTCTGAAAACAAGTTCACATCTCGTGTATACTTACGTTATGGATGGCTCTAAGTAAGTCTCAAGTAGAGTACTTATCGAGATTTAGGTCCCAGCCATATATCTCTAAAAATTCGTAGCTACGAGTCTTAGTTTCTGCATGCTACAAAAGAAGTCGTCTAGCCTTTCGGCTTTCTTTTCGCGTACATTTTTTTGTCAGGCTACAGCTATCCGATTTCAGGCGTGAATGTCCTCACGTTCGAATTGAACCTGTGACCTTCTTTTCCAAGGGCTACCAATGTCTTGTGTTCTCAAATTGTTCGTTTATTGTCCCATTTGATGATCCATCAGCAAACCGATGAATAGGTCAAGGTTGGCTCTCAAAGTAATATCATTACATAAGTGTTTTATCTTATAAAGTATATCGTATGCTAGAGAAGTATGCCATTGTCTTTTAGGGATCACCTGGGGTGTTACTCTGCCAATTTAGGCATTCATGTCGGTAATTTGTCAGTCACTTAATCAACTAAATATCACTATTTAACGCATAACTTTAATATTGAAGGAATGCATCGAATATATATATAAGGCCGATGGGCGGTAGCAGAGGCATTGTCTACTACATTGCCTCCCACTTCTGGGGTCTCAGATTCCATTCCCAGATATGGCATCACACGTGAGCAGAATTTGTTAGGTCTCTCCAGACCTTTGATTATATGGATCTTTCTTCAGTTTTCCTCCCTCCGCAAAACCTAACACGATAAATTCCAATTCAATCTGTGAGTTACCCCTGCCCTGACTTAGATCAGCCCAGAGGTTGTTTCAAGGTTCAATCTGTGAGTTAGCTGTGCCCTGACTAAGATCAGCCCAGCTGTTTCAGGCTTCGATCAGATTACAGCTTTGAAGTCGTGCATACATACCGATTTTTTTTGTGTCAAGGACTTCACGCGCACATGCACACACAACTTGCGAAATAAATGTCGTGAATTTTTTATGATGGAATTGTAGGACGGCTTGGCCGAGTACGAAAAAACGTTGCGCAGAATTCTCTCGTCACCACGGCTTTACAATTAATCCAAGCTTAATGTTGACACTATAATGGATTAGGCTGAGCTCAATATGTTCGCACCCTTGTAGGAAGGGCCGTGGAACAACACTAGCTAGAGGATAGGCCAACTACGGGATGCCCAAAAAAAGGGAAAAAAGATAAAGAAGGAGAAAGAAGAAGAAGAAGAAGAAGAAGAAGAAGAAGAAGAAGAAGAAGAAGAAGAAGAAGAAGAAGAAGAAGAAGAAGAAGAAGAAG